AAAAGGAAATGAGGATATTCACTGTGTACATCTGGTGGGTCCCAGAGCACCTATTGTCATTGGGAGTGCGAGTGGAGGGCTTTGGAATGCAGAGGTGCATGGACTCCTTGTGCTTCCTTGGAGGGGTGGGATCTGGCAGCATCTCTGAGCCCCATAAATCTCTTCAAGACTCTTCCTGCCTGCCTTTCCTGTGCCCTCTGTGGGCTGTTGAATGGAGACACTCATGACCTGACTCACCTCCTCTGGAGGGGAGGCCCAAGGCCTGTTCTAGTACCCCCTGGACCAGCCAGCAAGGAATGGCTCTCTGCTTCCTCCCTCTTCTTGCCAAGAGCCTCTCACCTCAGCTCCAACCTGCCCATACCTTGCTGGCTTAATTATCCAGGTTATGAGGGTCCTCAGTCTCCCTTCCTGTGAATAGAAGCAAGGACACCAAATAGTCCCTAAAAGAAGTGCACACAGGGGCTCAGCCCCCCTCAGCAGAGACATGGCACATCCCAGTGAGTGGGTACACACATGCACAGGCACACCCCATTCCCTGACCCTCCTGGTGCTATTCTCCCCAGCACCCCTTACTCATCTATCCTGTCACCCGCACGCCCTCCACACACCCAGGTCCTTCTTCCCTCAGGCCTCACTGAACTGGTTTTAATTCTGTGTGGGAGGTGGGGCTGGATCCCCATAACACCCCCATCTCCCAGAGATCCCCTACACTCAAAGATGACCTTGCATCAGGTATGGTTGGGGGGCACAGCTTTAGAGGGGGTAGCCAGGGGAAGGCCCTGATCCCACACACCCCCCTACCCTCCCTCATTCAGCTCAGGAAATCCAAATCCCTTTGAAAGGCTGGAGGCCTCTGGGAGGCAGGCTGGGCACTCCTAGGGCCCTTTGATTTGCCTGGGCCTTCCCTCGAGCCCCAGTGGCTCCTTTCCTGGTGCCACTTCTCACAGACCTCAACCTGGGGGGAAGTCCCTCAGAGAATCAGGGGTAGAAGGGGGCAGGATTTGGAGACTGTGCCAGACCCCTGTGTCCTGGAGTCATGTTAACCCTTCGGGGCCTGGATGCCCTTCCTCCCCGAGCCTGGCATCTTCTCCCTCTTCCATTTCCCGTGGGGAAGAAGGCAGCAAACCCAAGTGGTGAAGGGAGCTCTGGAGACATCATAAAATGGGATGACTGCTGTCACCTGAGGACTGGGCCAGGAGGAAGTGGAAGTTTAACAGGTACCTAATTATAAGTCCCACTGGCTGCCCTGCCCCATTCTCGGGATAGGGAAGAGCTTGGGTGATGGCTGGGTAATGCCTGGGTAGGTCACTCTGTCACCTTGCTAATTAGGGTTTTTGGGACTCCTCCCTAAGGCAGGGGCCAGGCTCCCTCCCTCCCATAGAAATAACTCCGCTCCCCGGCCAGGCACTCATTGCACCTTCCTGCCACCCCAAGCAGTGTCTGGGCCTTCAGCTCCCCATCCCTCCACCCATCCCCACACACCCACCACTGTCGGCCCAGGGATACCCAACCCAGGAGGAGGAAACGTGGAGCCTAGAGACATGGGAGTTCGAGGAGCGTTCCACCTTCTACTCGTGTGCCTGAGCCCAGGTATGGGGCTGGGCAGCAGGCAGGGATGCCATCACGACAACAGATGGGCAGGGTAAGGGGCAGTGAGGGGCACACAGAGGATCCTCGGAGGTAGCCTGAGATGCCCTGGCAGGGTGTGGCTCACCCTTGCCCTGCTGCCACCCAGGTTTGGATATTGCCAAGGAGACTCTCCAGGAGAGTGCCATGCCTGAAGGTTCAGGGCATGTGTCTGTGAGCAGAAGTCTTTAACGTGCCTCTGTGTGGGGCTGGCATATGCGTGCCTGTGCTGTGACTGGGCACCAGGCTGCAGGAACTGGGGGTGGGGCAGGTGGTCAGGTGAGCAGCAAGGCTGGTGGGGGCTGAGGAGGAGCCTTTGAAAGAACCCTTTTCACCAGTGTGTGCGCTATTCCAGCCAGAGGGCCCTCCTCCCACTCCCAGGCCAGAGCCCAGGACAGAGAGTTGCCTGAAGAGGGAAGAGCCAGCCTTGGGCCGATGTGGCCTAAATGGCTGCTCGCAGCATGGCCGATGCCACTAGTGTGAGGCGGGGCTGAGACCTCCACTCCAGGCCTCTGTGTTGTGAGTTGCGGGTGGCATTTTTCCTCCTGGAAGAGGCTGATGAGGGTGGGGATAGTAACTCCCAGAGCCCTCTTACTCCACTGGGGCACGCCTTGAGGGCAGGGCTCAGGTTGGATGTCTTGGCTACTTGCCCAGGTTGGGGCAAGTCCCAGCAAGGGCCACTCTGAGTGGACATTGCTGGAAATGGCTCTCAGAGTCCCCTGGGATCTGGACTGGGGGTGAGGGAGAGTGGAGGAGGAGTTCATGGGAGGGGGAGTATTTTTAGCCTTTGTGTGTTAGTGCGAGTGTATGTTAGTATGTGTTAGTGTGAGAATGTGTGTATGTGTGTGTGTGTGTATGTGTGTGAATGATTGTGTTTCCAGCAGAATGTCTGCAACACCCTCTGGTGAGAGCTGGGCTGGCAGATCCCATGCAGGAAGCTCCACCTGTGCTATGGGCACCTGGGACATCTTCATGTATGTGGTGTGTGTCCTGGGTGTGTGCAGTGTATATTTATGCACGGATACCCTCTTGTGCCGCCGCCTTTCCTTCCCTCCCCCTCCCTCACCTTCAGTGGGAGATTAGGAACTCTGGAAGCAGCTTGAAAATTCACAAAGGATTTACAAGCTGAGAATACAGTGTGCAGTCCCTAGTGCTTTTGTTGGGGGACAATTAGTCACCACTGCCGTTTCCTTGCAGCCCACTGTGACTTCCCTCCCTCTCTCCAAGTTTTCCCATGCAGATCTTTCTACCACTCTGGCATTCTTCCCTCTCTCCAGCCTCTCTCTTCTCTCACATCCCTTGGGAGCACTTTTTCAGTGCCACAGCAAGAGGAATCAGGGTGAAACACAAGGAAGAACTTCCTCAGGAGAGTGAAAGAGTGCAGAAAGTCCGGAGCCCTTAAGAGGAGGTTGAGAAAGCTTTCAGGGAGATTGAAAGGCTAGGGCGAGGCTTTCTGGCCTGAGACAATGGAAGACACCCAGCCTAATGCAGGGTGGAGGCACTGGTCTTTCAGCCTGCTCCTCCTTCCCAAGCCCCCTTCTCTGAATACTTATCATGAGCTGTAACCAGACTCTTCTCTGTGGGTTGCTTCCAGGAGCCCGTCCTCAGGGTAGAGCCTTTGCTCTGGCTCATCCCTGGCTTGCCTTGTGTAGCCCCAGGATCTGGCAGATAGCATCAGGATCCTTATCGCGGAAATGAGCTGGTGTTCTCCTGGCCTAGGGCTGGAAGAGGCATCACCAGGTCCCGTTAAAGCCCCAGCAGCTAGCCTGCCTGCTTGGAGTCTCTCTGGAGCCTAGTATGGTTAGCACATGGTTGACAGTCCAGCAAGGGTTCTGAGGGGGCACGTTCAGTGATGCATGAGATATTGAGGGTATTGGAAGGGTGCCTGTTGGCTCTCTAGAACCAGGCTAAGCTTTTGCAGTTATGTCTTGTCTTGAATAAGTGCACATGGGAGTGTGCAGTGGGCATGTCTTCTGGATTAATCCAGACCTGTGTTTGTGTGAAGATGTGTATCTGTATGGATCTGATGGTGTCTGTGTGTAGGAAGGTAGGCCTGTACAAGTATGTGCCTGTATTTTGAAGGCTTGTAAGAGTGTGTCTATGTGTTGATGTGTTTGGCTGTGACAGCATGTAATTGTGTGTCTGAGACACTCTCTAAGTGTGAAGGTAATCCCAGGAGAGAGCCAGAGGAAGGCAGGGCAGAATGAATTGCTGAGACCAGGGCTTGAGACTCCAAAGGACTTGCTGACTCTCAAAAAAGAATGCAGGAGAGTGAGCCAGGCTTGGGGAGAGATCTGGGGAGGGAGGAGTGTTGGAGACTGCGAAGCTGAGCCCACCTGCCCTGCCTGCCAAGGTTGGAGCCCTGGTCACCTCCTGCGCCTTCTATTCCTCTCTGGGTGCAACTGATTGGGGCTAGTGCTTGCCTGGGGCTTCAGAGTAGAGAGGTAGAGGAACTCAATGCTGAGCTTCTAGATGCCGGCTCCTCACCCAGGCTGACTCAGTGGAGCGGGCTGGCAACAGCGAGAGGGGCCCCAATTGGAGCGAGCATGTGGGGGTGGCTGTACCTGAGCCATACAATCACACCAAGGCAGGGCACGAAGTGCACACTGCCACATGTCATCACACAAAGCTCATGCTATTCTACAGATAGATGCTTGCAGCCACAGTCCCAGGCACGCACCATTATTCACTCACACACGAACACAAGCCTGGTCACACACACACACTGACATGCACAGGCATGCAGCCACAGACATGCACTGTCATACACAAGACACACAGACACCTGTAATCTTCTGCTCCTTGGGCTGGGAAGGGACCCCAGAGACCATGGTGTCTATTCTCCTGCCTCCAGATAGGAGCACCTCACTTAGCCAGACAGGCAGCTTTTAATGAGCCAGGCTCCTCCATCAGAGCATTAACAGCTCTGTGTGCTCCATGTGCACAAACACACACACAATCATTTAAATATAAAAGCAGACATTCTACCTGGTCATGGCATGCATATACATACAAATAGCCACAAATGCTCATAAACACTCATGTTCACATATGTACATACTTATACATGCACACACAATCATGCATACATACAAGCATACCTAACAGCTGTATATATACAAACAAGATTCAGATGCAGTTTTATATATTATAGAATATAGACATACATACACAAGTGCGCACAGACATGCATATACCGCTTCATGCACACATGCAGACACACACTCAGAGCAGTCCCTGCTCCCTGTGGAACCCCCACAGAGTCTGGGTTGCTGCTGACAGAGAATGGTGGAGGGAGAGGCTGAAGCCTACTACCCGAGCTCTGGTTCTACTCCACCTCACCTGTCCTGCCTTTCCCTTAGCACTGCTGTCTGCTGTGCGGATCAACGGGGATGGCCAGGAGGTCCTGTACCTGGCAGAAGGTGACAGTGTGAAACTGGGTTGCCCCTACATCCTGGATCCTGAGGACTATGGTCCCAGTGGGCTGGACATCGAGTGGATGCAGGTCAATTCAGACCCTTCACACCGGGAGAATGTGGTGAGTGCCAGGAACATTGTTCCCCTTACCTAACACTCCATGGTGTCTACCTGATGGGCAGCCAACACTCTGAGGGGATAAGGAGGGCAGATAAGGAAACTAAGACCTGAACTTCCCCTAAGGCCTCTCGTGGAATGGGACAGC